TTATGTGCCCGCAAGGGTTTTGGGAGAGCACATCAGTCTCAAGAAAATACTTGCTGGGAAACATGTTGGAAGGCAAAGAGATCAGTGCAGATAAAAACTTTAATCTCAACTCCTGCACATATGAGCCAATTGTTACTTTACAGCGTAGGTAAGATAGGGGAGGAGGCGGCAGGTCTTGGTTTTTAGCTGTGCCAGGAAAGCATGGACCCTCAACCGCTTCCAACACTGAAAAGCTGCCTCAGATGCTGCATCTGACCTTCATTAGAAAGAGAAGACAGCCATTCAGTATCTGCTCAGGGAAACCCATGACCAAAGGATTCCAATTTCTGATATTGCTCGATGCAAGACCATTTGAGTCGTACAAAGGGGACAGTATTTTCTAGTTAGAGCTATTTCTAATGAGAGAAAGCGCTGCTACCGCTACCTCTGTAACTCGAGCAACCACAGTGCTGTCGCATCAGGTATAAAGCAAAAATTTCCCAAACTACACAAAGTAAACACATCCTATATGGTATCCTGAAGTCCCCTGGACATGGGCTGACACTCAAAGAGATGGGAAAACGAGGAAACAAAGCAAAGCTACGTATCTCTCTACCAAGTCTACACCATCTGTGTGATGCAACAGAGTCACATTTGATGTAAGCACAGGGAACAGGCCAGCTGCACGCCGACGGCCTGCCTTATTTTACCCACCTGCACAATGACATCACACTATAGAGGCAAAAAAAGGTAAAAGACCAAGATTTTAAAGGAGTGAGGAATAGGCATGCTCATTTTAAACTGGGAAATGGTTCTTTCATTTTTGTTAAATACCATCTCTTTTAACCACCATCACAAAGAGCTATATATTGGGGATGCTGCTAAAATGGCAGTAAAGACAGAAGCGGTTGTAAGGGTCGATGTGCCATTGGCCTCTTACACCCCCAGGCAGCTTATTCCCAAGGCTGGCTACTGCCCTGAGCATCCAAGCAACATTTCCATAGTCGGGATCTGCTGCAGGAGAAGACAAAATCGGCCTCTGACTTCTCAAAACCAGCCGAACTGCGCACACGCAGTGAGAACGGGGAAGGGCAATAGGAAAAAAGTTGAGTGATGCCTTTGCCTTGTGAATAATGAACAGTTCAAGAAGGTCAACCCATTACAACTGAAACCGTTTAATTATTAATTATGCACAATCTATGAGCGAAAGGACAAGTTCAGAATGTTTAATGTGTGGTAACTCCGACTGGACCCTCTCTTGGCATTTTGTTATTAGCACTTGTCAGCAAGGTGCTCAGGCATAAAGAAGAAAGCACAGCAGCAGAAAATCTGAGCTAGCAGGAGGAGGGAGGCTTTAAACTTCAAACACTGCTCCTAATATTTAATTTATAGAGTGCCAAGGCTCTCGTATAAACCTTATTGACTTCCACGGAGTTAGGGAAAGTCACATTATCTAAATGAAGACCTGAGAACAAGAATACTGAGACAATCCCTCCACAAACCCTCTCTTTTGAAGGCAGTGATAACACTACCATCTGTATCTGCTTTTTTTTTTCCCACAGGTCTGAACAAAGGAAGGGTAAAACACCTAACAGCGTGTCCAAAAGTCAACTCATATGCAACACGAGCTTGAATTACAGGTCCGAGCATCACCCTCACCTACTTCTCAAAGCTGTTATTCGAAATGTCTCCTGATCTGTTGGCTCTCACTAAGCAGAGCAGTAGTTGAGATGCTACTGAGGCTCAGGAAATAAATAACGTCCAGCAAACCCACAAATAAATACGGATAGGGCACCTTCCCCCTCTTTTTCTGTCCAGCTTGGAGGTTTACCTGGACAAACGCAAGAAACAAATGGAACAGACACAGCTCTGCATTGCTTCTGTTCTTTGGAAACACTCTTTATGTCAATGAAATTTGGGAGTAGTTCTTGACTGGCAATATACACCAAAAGCACCCCATCCTTTACACGTGATCTTCAGAGGTCTTACCCCAACAGACAATTTCTTGAGAGCAAAATATTTTCTCAAAGCAACTGAAAGCCCGAGATTTATCGCATCCGTTCTGAAGAAAGAGAAAGACCACAATCTCCCTATAACAGGAAAATCAGCGAATACAGCTTTCTACCTAAAAGAAGGCGTTGGCAAAGCCCCCAGCTATGTGTTAAGATCAAACCTGTGTTCCTCCTACCTCCTCCTTCGGGGGCCAGCCCGACGGACAGCCACGGTGCAGAACGACGGCAGCCTGTCATCAACACGTCCCCAGAAGACAGCCAGGCTGCACAGCCGTGCGGGCTCAAACACAAGCTCAGCTCCACTTCGTGGGCAACAGGGCTTGGTCCTCCCCGTGGATCCCCACACTCGGTGCAAACAGGTTTTACTCCCTCCTCCCAACTGCTAACTCCCTCTCTGCGAAGGGTTAAATTTT